TTATGCTTCTCTTCAATTTTCTCGTGTCGGAAACGCATATAATGCGAGATATCAATTATTTTAAAATAATATTCTTTAATCTCACTTACCCTGTATGTACATCGTCGGTGTGTCTTATCTCTTTGTCACGTCTGTTTTTGTTTTTAGAAGGCTGTAATGTGTCCATGTGGTTACATACCGTATTGTAGCCCGCAAGTCTCACCTTTAACTCGCGACTTGACTCGCGTGGTTAGTAGGTTTATTATCTGAGGGATCATCTCTATTGTTCTCCGCCTTTCCTTCTAAAAGCAATAATATTAATTTACTTGAATACATTATAGAGATTTGTATTTCTGTACAGACACTGTCCAGCCCTGTACTTTAGTTTAGATTCTCCTTTTCAGAAGAATCTACTTACCCACCATCCCGCATAAAGGTTTTATGGTGGAAAGACATCACATTTTGGTACAATTAAGACAACGGACAGCACTTAGATGTGGATGATGGATTTCAGTCGGCATTTTTGGGTAATGGGCTTGGAGTGCAATGCCTTGCCGACGTTCTAAAACTAGTGTAAAAACTCGAACCAACCACCAATTCCAACTGTAATACGTTTTAAGACCCTCAGAAAACAGTTTTCAACAGTTTTCATCGGGTTGTGTGCGACAACTCGGTCTTTTTCTCTTTTTTCTACTAGAAATAGGTGATACCCCCAATATACACATTTACCGAAAAGGGAAAGAAAATTATTGATTTGCGGACGCATTGAACTTATGGTCTAATTTTTAAAAATTTGCACCCTGGACACTGAGCAACGAGCACCACAAGATTAACATAGGAGAAAATGATTCTCTAAACGTTAAGTTCGTTACAATATATACCGGCAGAAAACATTTCATTGAATAAGTCTAGGAGAATTAAGTAGAACTTCATTGCTAATTTCTTTAGTATGAAATAGTCGATTCCATCAGCTCCAGAGGAACTTTTAATTTTTCCAAACCCTAGCGCTGTAGTAAACTCAATGAGACTGAACTAAATGAATGTTTGAATAACAATTGATTATTCAAACATTCAGGCAATACTTCGGCGTCGCTAGGCACGTATGGTTTCTGAGGAAGTTTGGGGAGTTCCACGGAAGAAATTTCGACTTATCGTCGGCTGCACCACAGATGCGTGACACCGGTTTCATTCACTACTGCTTTCAGTGATGTGATGAGGATAGCGAGGGCAATACTTAGCTCCGAAAATTTCTGTACGATGATCGCATTTGAGATCCATGGATAGTGGTTTGAGATTACAACTCTTTTGGTCTTGGATATGTATGGGCGAATCGGCATGTTAATCTCATTCATTTTCACTCGGGCCTCTCCTTCAATGAGTTTCTCGACGAGTTTCACCAAATTCAGAAGGAACAGCATTCTTTTATTTGAGATTTTTGTCACCGAGAGCATGTCAGTAAGCAAAATTAGTTCGGTTAACGCAACAACATAGTCCTCAATTGAAATCCCGCCCAGGGCGTCCAGGATAATTGCTTGCTCCTTTTTAGGTAGATTCATTTGTTGTATTACTTGAGAATACGACACTATGGGTGTTGATTCTTGTTAAGGGGAATTCATGGTGTTCGTTGGAGTCTCCTCTGTATCCAGAAGAGGCGTCCAAGAGGAGAAAAAAAAATTAGAAACAGAAGGAGGGTTTTAAGAGCCCTGGCGCACTTATTTCTAATTTGCTGTTGCACTATTTCTCTGCGTGATTCGCTTGCCGTTTTAAATAAACTCGCGCTTCCACGGAGCGCTGTGATAAATACGTCTGAACTCTAAGATGAACTCTAAGATGATATAGAATAGTATTTGTGCATCACGGGCAGAAAGTCATGTTTCCTCGCCCCAGGTACACATGTTATTTTTCACCATGGCTGCAAAGGAAATTTCGTACTTTTTGCTGTCTACAGAGCGGGACCATAGTGAATACTTTCCACTCTAAGGTGGAGAGCTGCTCCCCAGGGGAAAAAGTTTTAGCTTTTCAACCTTGGTAGCACCTATCTAGCTTTTTTTTTTTCAGGGAACAATGCGTGAAATTTCCGTGCACGTGTGTTGAAAATGAAGTTAGTTGTTTAAGGATGTTCTGCCTGTATTTTGTTATCTTTCCTATTTTTTTGAGATTTTACGAAAACTATCGATCGGATTGGGATATGAAAATATAGCCTTTGTCCGTTGGATCATGATTTATCCTTTCACAAAGTTTCATCTCGATACACCAATTTTTACAACTTCTCACTAAAATTTATTAATTTTTTATTAAATTTTAGTGAAAAGTTACAAAATCTAGTATTATAATATAGTATTATATATATAAGAATTATATATTAAGAGCTGCAACAGCTCCGTATAGTTTTTCATATTTTGACCTGACCACTCCAGAAGAAGGGCACAATAATCATCGTGCCCACATATGCGTTGCACATGACTCCTAAATATTTTTCTGACCCATTTTATCCCGAACGATTTCAAGAGGACAGCACTGGAAAACATCCTGATATGTGTTATCTGCCATTTGGAGATGGACCAAGAAATTGCGTCGGTAATAATTTATAATCAATCATTTTATGTGGACGTCCGCATCAAAAGAGCCCACTTTGTCGATCATAATTTGTGAGATATACGCAATTTTCTATTGAAGTGAACCTTCTTCGGCGGCGATAGTAAAATAAGAATCGTTACGGAAATGGTAGCAGAATTGACGCAATCAACGTGACGGATACATTGATCCCGGTATCGCTGTCTCCTATTTTCTTTCTTTCATCAGGCATTTCCTTCTGCTATTGGGACTGCAATTTTTGAGCGCGTCACAAACATGACAGCCCTATTTTATCTATTTTGCAATCCTGTAACTCTTATGTCATATCAATTTATCCCTTTTCATGCAGACTTTATATTTATATTTGGTCATCCCAATATAAGTTGTCAAATTATTCGTTCTGCCCCTTCCATAGGCTCAAGATTTGCACGGATACAAAAGTCAAATCAGGACTCATTTCTGTACTGAAGTCGTATGCAGTTGAAGTGTGCGAACAAACGAATATAAATTATGAAATTAATGAGAAAGCCCCTCTCCTAACTCGGAAGAACGGTACATTTTTGAATTTGAAGAAACTGATGAAATAAATTTCAGATATTTCATCTGATTAAGAGCACCCATTTTTTCTTTAAATTTCGAGAAATTTTGAAAAATATATCTAAAGATATCTTGAAAGAACCTAATTTATGGAAGAAAACATCTGAACGTATATTTTGTATTATTTGATTAATTACATTCATTATAGCCGAAAAATACCATCAAAGAGTGAGGTCTTCCCACTTCTAATTACCAAATCCCATTTAAATCTCAGTGAATTAAAAATTCGACGTCGTCTTTTTATTGTTCATAGTTATATTCATTTTTATCCAATAATTGAATTGAACTCTATAGATTCTATGGGAAATATGATAAAAGATTCGGCACAATCAATTGTTTAAACATTTTCATGTATATGATCCATTAAGTAACAATTACAATCCGTAACTGCAGGTCGAAAAAAATTGGTCCTGTACTAACAGTTTCAAAAATTCATTAAATTGAGTTTAATTGGCGTCATTATAAAGCTTTTTTAATTATTTTCAAATGTCAAAATAGAATTATTTTTTTTTATTTCACATTTGGCGTGGAATTGCTTAGATGCAAAAATAAATTTGGAAGCAGAACATACAGCAAATTTTTACCGAGTTTTTTTCACTCTGATTTCAATTTTTCTCTCTCGTGCACTTACTTCCTTCAGATTTACTAATTGACATAATTCTGCGATTCTCGTTATGATGAGAATAATTCAATACTTTTAATTCTTTAATAGTTTAAAGCTCATGACATGTTCACTGATACTTCAAGCACAAAATTCAAGGATAAATACGAAACATTTCACCAAATCTGCAAGCGAAAGCGGTTTGAGGTAAATTCCTACAGATATATAAAAGAAAAATATGAAAAATGTGAGTTCAGGTTTAAAATGTGAGACGTTCAATTTTCGGTTCTCTAACTGAAAAAGTACGAAAAAGTTAGGTCATTTTTCTGGAAACTATAAAATCTAACTGGGATTTCACAAATCATTGCGTTCCAGAATTCATACGTAACATTTCATATATTTTCATATATTTGTTGCTGGTAAATTTATCGGACTTTCCTCTCCATGTACATATGGAACAAAATTTGAGTTTGAAACAATTCTACTGCATGCATTGTCAAACAAAGTTTCACAAATTTAGAGAAAAAATGTAAAATTTAATTTTACTGAGTTTTCAACGAAGAAATATAAGAAATTTTAATGGTATGTAAGAAAGTCTAGGTTTTGGGAAAAACAAAGTGAACAGATGCGAGGATGATTGTACAAAAGCACAAGTTAAAAATGTTTGATTTGATGGGGCAGGGGGAAGAGGGGGGCGATAAAAGAAAATATCTTCCTGTGCGATTGGTGGGGCATTACTTTACAAAGTCGTTCTATGAAAAATTATTAAATATTTTTAAGATTTTTTTAGTTATAATTTCCTTCAACTGCACAGGGTGATATTTTTTATGGCCTCCCTCTCCCCCCTGCTCCATCAAATCAGACATTTCTAACTTGTACTTTTATACAATTATCCTCGCATTTTAATGAAAAAGCACAGACTCTACATTTCTTACTTTTTTTTTTTAACCTACACGCATTTATGTGATGCCGCTCTGTCCGATGTAGAGCTATACCAAAGTTTCAGATAAAAAGAAAACATCGAGATAATGAGACACTCCAATCAGGTCTTGAATTAAAAAAAAATTTCAACAAAAATCAAATCGATGATTTCATCAATGCGTGGAAACAGTGCAGTATCGTTTTGAGTAATGAATGTCCTCACAACCTCAGTAGAAAATAGTATATTTAGCTTAAGAAATCTGTACAAATCCTGAATTTGGAGAAAAACTTTTGGAAAAAAAAAAGTCTCTCTCAAATAAATATCCATCCGCATTTTAAAAAATGAAGCTAACTACTAAAACGAAATGGAGAAACTCCGCGTAGAAAATTTGCGGTATCATTCACTGGAAAATCAATTTTGCTTATTCTATATGAACCTCAGTGTAAATTTTAATTCAATGAAAAGTTTATAAGAATACATAATTATACATATCTAATTTTATCTGGAACAAAAAATCGAACTAAATTGCATATCCATGTACCTCTAAATTAACATCTCACTGAAGATTGTCAAAATACATTGGTCAATAGCAGAATAGGAATAATCTTTCAAAAAGACAAAAGGGGGATTTTGTCTGGGAAAAAAAATATTAAGCCCAAGGGTAGAAATATAGTTTTTATCTGTCATCAATTCCAAAACATATATCTTCGCACAATTATTTAGGCAATAAAGCCAAATATTTCTTAAATTCTGATATGACATGCTGTCGTGGATTGACCAATCCATCGGTGGTAAGTAAAATATTGAGAAACTGTGGAAGGAAACACAAAATGCCTTTACTGGCCAACATAGCCCAATCCATTTGTTGGCCGGATCTGTTAATAACAAAACAGTGAGTAATTTTGTTTCCAGAAGGACTCGAATCATATGGCGGTTTCGCCTGTACCACAATCCCTCCACCAGCCTTGATAAGTCTCTCGAATTGTTCATACTTATCCTGATTCATTATTAACATTGCGACCATTCCTTGAAACGCCCTCCGCTTTGAATTCTTCAACGCCAATCGCCATCTGTGCGCTGCAGCAGCACTTGTCTTCTCATTCTCGACCTCAATGTGCGGCACATACCCCTCATTAAGAGGATTTCCCCACTCATATTTCTCTTCATCAACAAAATGCCCAGCTGTTTCACAAGCTCGCAAGTAGGAAGGATGCAAGACCCATTTACCTCCAGCGATACTGCCCAACATTTTTTCATTTCTTGAGGGGCGAAGGCATAATAAATGCGTCGCCGAATCATCAAATACAGACTCCGCCGATACCTCTCCTCCCAATTTCCTGATCAACGCTTCATGATTTTCCCTGTCTTTTATTCCAGAAAGCATGAATTTGAATATCTTCTTTGCTTCAGCCAGTTTTTGAGGCTCTGCTCGTTTAGTTACATGCGTTTCTTCGATGGGGCTTTCATCCGTTCTCCTAGGCATTCTAAGAGTGTTGGGATGAGGATCTTCCCAGCCAACACTCTCGATCTGAGTTGCTGGCCCATGAGCATTCTCATTAATCTTCTCCCGCTCTTCCCCATGAATCGAGAATCTCCCTTCATTCGAACTCGTAGACGTAGCCCTTAGCAGTTTATCCATTTCTTCCAACTCTTGGTGAATTTCAGATTTCTTTGGGGTGTCATCATCAAATGACAGCTCTCGATTTATCGGAGCAGCCTGCAAATTTTCCGTTATCTCATCATTACCATTATCATGTTGAATCGTATCTCCCTCGTCTTCATTTTGAAAACTATTACCATGTTCATCTCCAGAATGCCTCGGTTTCTTCAATGCTGACCATAATTGGCGTTTAAGATCTGATAATGGAGTGCTGAGCCTTCGTTTTTTTGGTTGATGCTCCTCGACTTTCTCAGGAAGTCCTTCGATCCACTTCGCCCAGGCTTTGCGCATATTAGGTGATGGATTTTCTTGGAATAGTTGACCGTAAGGCGTCTCGGGTGTTGCAATATGAAATGGTGAATTTGCGCTACTATTTTTGTTCAATGTCAATCTTTTGTTGATGATAGGTGTTTCCATATTTTGTGTTTGATTGGTCAGTCTATTTGGAGTGAGAATTTTTCGATTTGAAAGAGAAATGACAGCAGGCACAATACTACCGCTAGTCTCAGGTAGATTGTCACGCTCTGGAGCCATTGTCTCACCTACTAAAAATGGCGTCTCATTAACAAGTGTGAATTTCTCAGCACAGGCTTTGAGCCATTCAGCAGTTACTGCTGGTAGTCTCCACTTTACAGCTGCATTGTACTTATTGCCCTCTGGAGACATGCAGATTAAGTGAGTTCCACCGTATAGGCCTTTTTCAAGATTTGTCTTTCGAGCAAACGTGTCCTGATGACGAGCTCCCAGTATCGTTGCTAACTTAGACAAATAAGTTCGCTCCATTCCGGTATACGCAGAAACAACAATAACGCAATTAGCAAGAGGTTTTACATCCTCAGGTATACAGGTCGGTCGGTGGTAATATTGAATGTCCACCACTACATCATGATCCAAACAATCATCAATGAATAAACTGGTAACAACTTCATTCGCTGTTATTTTCAAACTGACTCCGTTAAATGGAACAATTGCGTAATCGGGGATTCCAGTGAAACTTCTGGATACTAAATTTCCACCAAGACCAGCAATATTTTCTTTTAATGAATTATCTTCTTCTTCAGCAGAACTAGTAACAAAAAATGTTAATTTTTGAAATATTTGAGCACCCATTGTCAAGGGTTGACTGAAAGGCACATTACTATCGTTCAATGGAGATCTGTGTAGAGATTTCGAGTGGATAGGATCTGACTGTCTCGGAAATAACTTGCTCATTGATTGATCCAGATTTTGAGGTTGGAGATATTGTTGCACGAGGTCTGGCTCATCCTCACACGGTTCTGAAGGGACTGTCACTTGGAAAACTGGTACTGGTGGGCGTTTTGGTTTCTGAAGCATTTGAAGATTCTTCTTGGATAGTGGAGATGGAGGCGGCTCTGCATTTGATTCTTCTTTTCTATCAAATACAAATGCCTCCTCGGGCGCTGGTTTTTTCATTTTTATACTCTCCTCTAACCACTGGATTTTCAATACGTGAGGGTGTAGACCTTTGGCCTGTATAATCTTCAAATCTCCAGATGCTTTTCCAGGATCTCCGATGAGCACATGAGTAAGTGTCTCTGATATTTCATCGTACCTCGTTGCACTGCTCATGTTTATAATTTTATGCAATCTGTCTTTTTGAGTGGAGGAGAAACCCGCTACATAAATATTGCAACCGTCTAAGAAAGGACCTGCCTTCTTTGCTTCTTTTACACTTATATGATCCACTGAAGCTGCAGGTTTTTGGGGACATTTATCTGAGACTGTCACGTGAGCAGTTGAATTAATTGTGCTAGACATGGTCTCATTGATGAAGACAGGATTATCAGCTTGAATGCAACTAATAGTAGAGATATTGAAATTTTCTTGGCAGGATTGCGATCCTTTCTCTGGGGTAGAACACTTTGTGGACGGAGAAATAATAAACTCATTGAAGGGAAGAGCGTAGCCTACTTCAATACTTTTTTTAATCCAGTTCGAAGTGACACAGGGGATATCGTTTGCCAGGGCGAATTTTATTTTGTCACTCATTGTTGTGTACTCGTCTGTAATGAGAAGTTTCACTTTCCGACCATCTAGTGGACCCATGTAGCCACCTCCGTGTTGTTCTAATAATCTCTTCACCTCCTCTCTTCTATCTCTTGGAAGGTTTGTAGTTGTGACGATGAGGTTCATGAAGACTGAGACTTTATATTTGTCAAAACTCTTGTCAGTTGCCGGTACGTAGCCTTGGAGGTTCGCCTCCCAAACAGCGGCAACCCAGTGGTTTGTGTATGCCTTTATGCCGTCTTCCATTGCTTTCTCGTATTTTTCTGACATAACGGAATCTGTAATAAGATGAGTAACACAATGGCGAAGGTCTTTGATACAGATTCCACCCATGTATTCAATTTTCTTCTGGTAAGCAAGTTTATCTTGAGGAGTGAAACCGGATATACAGACGACAATATCTCGCATTGCTGTATTTAATATCGGGCTGGTACCTAGAGGAATCGGTTCGTTCGTCAAGAAACAACGGAGCAGGCATTTTGGTCCGAGTATTCTGCTAAAACCAGAAAGAATATTTCTGTAATAGAATAATCATTTTGTTCGGAAAATAGATATATTCTTTCATCATAGCTAATCTCATTCATTATGGAATTCCCCTTTACCCTTTTCTTCATTGAACTTAAAACACTGTTTTTTATAAATGATCATATGTAAATGGGTTTTTTAATAACTTTATTTCCATTAAGTCTTCTTAAATACATCTAGAATTATTAAACGATCGCCATTCATTAATCTTCTACTCGAATTATTATGGAAATAATATGTATATCATTATACACAAAAACAAGAAAGATTGGTATATAGTTTCGAAAGTCGCCTGACAATCTGAACAATAATATTTTCATATTTTAAATATCTGTCTATTTCATAAATAAATATAAATGTCTATTTCGTGATGCTCAATTATTAGAATAACGAAAAATCATGTAAATAGCATTGCGTTGTGGATTGAGGATGAGAATTATTACTTACAAACATTTTGTTGCCTGGAGTCTTATGAAAGCATTTCCTTCGAATTTTTCTAGTACAAAAATATCAGTCTTCTCTGGCTTTATATCGTGGCAGGCATTTTCCTTGATCCACTCGGGTGGAATCTCATTTTCCTTGCATTTCTATTGATCAGATATCAAATACTGTTATGAAATAACGATCCAATTGTCATCACAAAAATCACTAAAAAAATGACCAATTATAACAAAAAAATGTACCTGGAAAGCTTCCCACATATCCTCTGAACAATCATCTTCACTTGCACATTCATTAGGTACCATAAAATGTACATGTAATGACCCTTCAAATTGACTAAATTGACTTGCCATTGTGCTTATCTGCCAACAGACATTTAATTTTTTTTTCACTTATTATTAAGTGCTCAAAATCCTTGATTCAGTTGCTGTAATTGTCACTCAAATTTTTTTATAATCGTCTGTTCGATATACCAATTATTATCTTGATCGTGATTAATAGTTTGATTTCGATGAGAAATATCGGAATCACTGACATTTGCTTTTGATTCTATACGAATAACCCTACTTTCGACGCATTCAACAAGACATTTGAGTAGATTGAAGGCGATTTATGCAGTTGGTTCGCGCGCTTAGGTTCTCCGGCAGAAATGATAAAAAGATTGTCAAGACCAAAAGCAAAGAGGGACCTGGAAAATTTGAAGCGGCGGCGTCTGAACTAATTCAGAGTACATACCCTTGAGTAAAACAGAGGGCATATGAGAGCGTCGGTAACAAACCTTCCTACATATTGAAAGATCGAGGAGTTTTTTTATTTCTTTTGTTTTATTATATATTTATATGAGTGCCTTAGAAACTTGCATAGGATTTATTAGCTTGAGATATTTATATATAAGTTACATTGTTTCTTAGCCTATTTGGTACTTTACTTATTAAATTTGGAACTGACTGGCTTTAGGAAATTTGTCGATAGCTCTGATAATGGGTAATTTCAGTGATCGCAATACGCAAATAATGTGAGCTGGGAGTAGAACATGTTTTTGAATTATTTGCGTCATTTTTACTCTTTTATTCATATTATATATTTAGGACAATCTGTGAGTACGTGACTGCGGTCTTCCTCGGGGTAGGCACAGGAACATGACGCACTATTGACGATATTTATTCTGTGGATAGATTCGTATGTATAGCTAGCCGACAGGTGATTGCATTTTGTAAAATAAACTCAAATAAAAGAAATAAACCAAATGCCAAATAAAAAAATTACCTGTCGCTAGCTACATACGAATCCCTGAAGTTTGCGGACAAAAACTTTGACACTGCAGATCTCGCGGTAAAAGTAAATAATTCAAAAATATTCAATTGCATGTTATTGAAAGCACAACATTTCAATCATGACAATGGCGGGATTTGTAGAAATAATGATTGGACTGTGTTTTATTGCATAATTCACTCCGAACAGAATAAACAACCGGTGAATAAACATGGCATTTTTTTATTTGCGACTGAATTTATTGAAAAACAAAATTTCACGATTTAATGTTGTGAAATCTTGATGTTTTTTAAATTTTTTTTGCTACTTCTATCGCTAAAGATTCAATACGCTGGCAAATATTGATCTTTGTCAAATTCTATCTTGCCTATCAGTACACCAATTCAAATAAACTAAAAATTGAGGCAATTGAGGCGATCAGCTGTCAATTTTAGGGAAACGAAGTTCAGACAGATGGCGATAGTGTGGCCTCTCAATCTCGGAGAGGCGAAAATGAGTTTCACGGCAGAAGTGATCAGGAGCGTATGAAGGAGGGGCACTTTTGGGGGGATAATATCCCAATGGGGGGATAGCAATAAATGGT